CGGGTTGCATCCAAAGCAAATCAGTACACGATATAATGTTTTTCTTATTGTCAATTCACTATTTTGTGTAAAATAAATGGGACTAAGGAGCTAAGACCGCCTCCAAATTTATTAACCTCTTACAGTGGAAAGCCATCACACGGTGTCAGAAGTAGAATGGCACACCGAGTGACGTAATACTAAACGGGATAGAATCCCTCACTTCCTTCATTGACTGACATGCATGGCANGGAAAGCCATCACACGGTGTCAGAAGTAGAATGGCACACCGAGTGACGTAATACTAAACGGGATAGAATCCCTCACTTCCTTCATTGACTGACATGCATGGCAACTAAAACTTTCAAAGTACTCAAGCAGACCTCATTCCCAAGGTAGTCCCACTCAAGTTAATTCTATATCAATCTCGGTGTCGGAAATCTTGTGGGGTTTCTCGGGAAACCCCTGTGGGGTTTCCACGCGACGTTTGCTCCTGTGGACAGCCATGCATACCTGCTTTTTATAATAAAGTTGTCCAAATTAAACGTTCCCTGTGACTCAGACAAACAGACCATTTGTTTGCGGTAAACATAGCTGTCTGGAGGCCCTTATTGACAACAGAACAACAGAGTGTTAAAACTGTACAAAATAACAAATTCAACCTACCAAATCCTTTGGTGAAGGATATTATATTTGTTATGAAAGCAGAAATTATACTTAAGAGATTAAACGACAGAAAACACAACATGAGCTGTCTCTGTTCATGATGAAAAGCTTCTTCTTCGTAAAAATGCTCAAACAGCACTTAAGCTTAAATGTAGTGTAGTTACGCTCGTTCGCTAAATAGCGAACTCAGGTCACCTCAGTGAAGTTAAACTCAACAATTACTACGCTCACTCGACGAGTGGTCAGTTGAAAGTTGCTGTGATATTCTCTCCTGTACTTGGAGTAGAACCAGTGGAAGCAGTTTAGTCTTTCCAAATTTGTCGTTAGTTCAGGCCATCTTGCTACAAGCCGTAAATAACTGTAGCTTCTTTCAAAAAAGTCCAGCATTTCGCATTTTCATCTGCAATCTTTGAGCCCTTTGGTTTGCAATTTCCACTGGAAAAGTGCATGTTTCTATGAGCCACAATGCAGCCTCATCGCTCTGGACTAGAAACGATCCTTATTTTACAAATTAAGCTAACGAGCGAACCTTGAAAGGATTGTTCTTATCTCGAAGAGCACTCGAAACCGAAGGTGTAGCTGAAGTCCAGTTTGTGAATGACAGCTGCTGTCTATTTGGTCATTTAAATTGTTTAAATAAATCTAACGTAACAAGGATAGTGATTGGCATATTTAGGCGTGCTTTATCAGAGAACAGATGCACGCTGATGCCAATTTTCCTTATTTGGAAAATAGTTTGGTTGAAAATATTTGCTGAATGTGTAGGAAAATTAATGGGTTCTTTATCATAAAACAAACAAAGAAGCCTCGACTGTGCTCTGTTCTGTTGTAAAGCACTTAGTAAGCGGTAGAGCACTCAAGCCTATAACTCGAGAAACACTCGGCGTAGTCGGGATGTTACTAAAACTGGTAACGGGGAACGGGGAACGGGAACGGGGAACGGGAGTCTGGGAACGAGTGTACAGCGGTAACCCGCGTGAAAATTCAACATGGCGGACAAAAGAA